GGCTTTTAACCATCAATTTTATCCCTGATTTTTAAACAATACACGATCAAGACTTGACGAATGATCAAAGTCCGTTTCATCTAATAAAATAGTTTTTTCACAAAAGGCACATGGATACAATGACGCTCATTGATGTTTTAGGTTTTACCGCTGGGATCCTAACAACTGCAGCCTTTTTGCCGCAAGTTTGGAAGACTTGGCGTTCTAAATCAGCAAAAGACCTTTCTCGAGGAATGTACGCCATTTTATGCCTCGGTTTTGCAATGTGGTGCGTATATGGTTTGCTTATTGGCTCTGCTCCTATTGTTCTTGCCAATGGCCTTGTCCTTGTTCTCGTCTCAGCTGTCTTATGGATGAAATTAAGGTGGGGGTAAAATCAGCGCCCCTTTTATTTTGGTTCAAGTATATTCCAAGCCACAAAAATCACGTTGCTTAAAAGCAAAAAGAGCCAGCAAGGGAGAGAACACAAGCCTTTCTCTATTCAAAAATAAAATTTTAATCCTAGATGTTCAAGGTTCTCTCAAATGCTTCCAAAGTGTTTTCTAAAAGAGATGAAACCGTCATTGGCCCTACCCCTCCTGGAACGGGTGTAATGGCACGAACCTTAGGCAAAACGCCTTTAAAATGAACATCACCAACTAAACGTGTTGAGCCTTTTTTTGTTTCCTGGCGCGTAATCCCAACATCAATAACAATTGCCCCTTCTTGCACCCAAGATGCTGTCACCAACTGAGGAACCCCCGCTGCTGCAATAACAATATCCGCAGAGCGTATAGTGTCTTCTGGGTTTTGAGTTTTGGAATGTACAACGGTCACTGTACAATCTTCTTTTAAGAGAAGCTGCGCCATAGGTTTGCCCATCAAATTAGATCGCCCAATCACAACAGCATTTAAACCCTGTAAGCTTTCTTCTACTACACCCTTAATTAAAGTTAAACACCCTTTAGGGGTGCAAGGAACGATAGCTCTAGAACTTCCTCTTGAAAGAAGGCCCATGTTTAAAGGATGGAGACCATCAACATCTTTTTCAGGTTTCAGATATTCCACTAAAGCATCTGGATCGATCTGCTTTGGAGCAGGCAACTGGATAAGGACGCCATGCAAAGAATTATCTTCATTAAAAGCATCAATATAGTCTAATGCCTGCTCTTGAGTAACATTGTCTGGTAAATGAATCTCGATGGATCGCATTCCAACGGCCTCACAAGCGCGCTTCTTGTAAGAAACATAGACTTCGCTTGCAGGGTCTGATCCTAA